AGGCCTTCACCCGGTGTTCTTGACCACAATTACAAGTTGTTGCAGAGTAAAAGTGTGAAACATTCGCCGAGATGAGCTACGTCAATCTGATAACTTTTATCTTTCACACTATTTGGGATTCCATCGGGATGATCTCCAACATGGTACTCTTCTATCTTGTTCTGCACCGAACTCCATCCTGTTTCAAGGTGTATGCCATTTTAATTGCTAATGCGGCTGTCACCGATTTGTAGCCTGTTTCTTAGCTTTTGTCATCCAACAGAGGTAAGAAAGCGAATGTTTTAGTCGTAAGCATCTCGTCAGCTTTCTCTAATTCCAGAATAATTCCAATAAAAACTAGCTTAATGTACTTCTCACACGGGCCGTGCCAAATGATAGGAGCAGAATTTTGCTACATCATGTAAGTTGTTCTTTTCTATTAATTCGCAGATTCCCTTCATTTTTTCGGCTTCTGTTCTTCACTGCCGAATCGTATTTTCTAATATTTTCAATTGTAGCCTGTTAGCAGGCAGGATCAACCTTCTGTTGGTACAGGTACCAACGAGAGTGGTCGCTTTTGGCCTATCGGATGTTTCGTAGAAGCGGTAATCAGCAGATATAATTGTGGTGATATCGGATTAGAAATTGATATCGGATCAGTATTTGAAATGAAAGGGAGATAGAATTGAGAAAGAAAAAATTATATTACTAGAAATTCTCGAGTATGACCAAATTCCATATGAATTTCAAATTATTGTAAAAAGCTACCAATCCAACAAAACTATCGACCGCAAAATAGAAAACGTTAAGCAGATTCAATACTTTCCTGATAACCTTCTGGAGTAAATAAAACCGTCAAGGGTCTAGTGTGGAATCAATCAATGATTGCACTGTCTATTGGGACAACCTCCTCAATTTTTCCTCAAATTTGACGGGTTTCGTCCATATTCCTGGCTCCTTTTTTCTTTCCGAACGTTTTTCTATCTTGTTCCATGATGTTTTGATGACGCTCAGAGCCCGTGACTGGATTGGTCCCTATCTTAGTAGCATACCATGCTGGGGAAACCACTCCACAGTGGAGGTGCGATGCTTTTGGTCGTTCCATTGCTAGAAGACCAAGACGACGGCGCGCAGTTGCCACAGTTCTGGATACGAAATTTTCTAGAATCTATTTGACTACCTTCTCACTCAGCACTTCTCGAATGCTATGCAGCGGTACAGCTTTCTCTACAGCCACCGTAACCGATTTTCCACTTAGTTTCAGGGATTGCAGCTGACACTTTGAAGAAACTTTTTTTTTAAAAACCCCACATATGCCTAGCTGCCACCGCCGTCAAACATCTTAAACTTACTCTTGTTGCTCCAGATGACGTTAGAGCCCCATGGGAATCTCTAGTTCAGGTGTGTGAAGCGTTCCATCTCCTACCACTTCACAAGCGGGCAAATTCACAGGTTCGCGAACAGGTGGGGGTGGACGTAGACGGCCTGTTTATAGAAAGTGTTGTGTGTCCGCACCTAGTGCAATTGTACGCTGATGTCTTCGTGTTGAAACGACCAAAATGATCGCACCTCCACTGTGAAGAAGTGGTTTTTCCATGGCGCGCTTTTGACGAAGGGACCATCTCAGATGTATCCCTGAGCGCGATTGCCTCATTATGGGATGGGGTAAGGAAACCCTTGGCATGATTAAGAGACAGGAATATGGACGAGATAGCAGTCAAATTTAAGGAAAGATTGAGGAAGTTGTCCCAACAGACAGCACATTCTTTGAATTGATTTCACCTTTGAGCCCTGATTAAGTTTCAGCAACTCCGAAGGGTTTTGGGACTGCTCAACGTTTTCTACCATGCGGTTGATTGTTTTCTTGAATTGTAAACTTTTTACAATAGTTTGAAATATACTTGAAATTTGTCCATACTCGAGAATTCCTAATTAAAGCATTTTCCCCCTAAATTGTTTCTCCAATTCAACACTGATACACCTATTTAGTGAAGGAAGTTTGCCTTTGAAACATATCAAAAAATGAACTCATTTGATGCAGGAGAAAAAAAGAGAAAAAAGAAAAAAAAGTTGAAAATGTATTCTACCGAAGACTTTCTTCTTTTTTCCTCCTTTTCTTCCCTTTTCTTTAGTTGAAAATGTATTCTACCGAAGACTTTTGAGCGGTACTGTAAATCTCCCATAGGGGGTGGCGGTATTGAGACCTCTGAAAGGGCTGAGACGTAATGCTTTCTCAGGTACTGTTCGGTGATATTCTGCTATCAGCACTCACTGTATTCCATGCTGTTCTCATTTTTCTACCGATATTACATACTAAAGAAACAACAGCTTTCAACGCGGTCGCTCAAACTTCTGCTAGCGGCCATATCAACACCATCATTGTTCCAATATGTGAGTAAACAAAAAACAACAAACACTGCCTTTGCCACAAACACTGCGAAACAACACTGCCTCTGTGGATTATTGTTGATCTTTTCATTTCATCTCGTTTTGCAGATCATTTTGTGGTTTGCGAATGACTCTGCTACACAGCTAACGCCAATATTAGTGCGGGAGCTTCCGCATTATGACATCACGAACGAGACAATTTCTGGCCACTTGAATGTATTTGAGTGGAAAACATTCACTGGAATTTTGCATATGACGTTACCGATAACGCCAGTCTATATTTCCATTCTTATTCTGAGGCGACGAACCGTAGCAGCTCTTTCAAGATGCATGATGTCGGACAATACAAAAAAGTTACATAAGCAATTGCTCCAGGTTTGTCTCCTACTATGATTTTTTAGCTCAGCTTTTACTTCGTGTCCTAATTTTTCCTAGAGGGATGAACATTCAACTTGTCTGCACCATTTTACTTCATCCAGTTGGGGCACAAATGGAGCATAGTGAAAAATCCGCGATTTGTCTACCGTGAGTGGTGAAATTCGTCGCATCCAGCTGTTGTCAGATATAAAGGCACTCAGTGCTAGCAAAGCACGTTTTGAAGGCAAGGTTTGGAATTAACTAGTGCGGTAAATTCACGCAACTATGAAAGTGGGGATGGGAGGTAGACTGCATCTGCGGAAAAAGGAAAGAAATTCGTGACAAAAATGGATAACGAGCCTTCTTGATCCACGCAGCGGAGAAGTCCAGAGGCAGGCACAGTGATGAGAGATAATGTGAGTTATGGAGAGGGTGGGAAGTATCGCGCGGTGGACGGATCCTGGTAGATCTCATGAGTTTGATCGAGATCTTTGGCGTGTAGCGTCCCAGTCACGCGTTTTTACGTGCAAAGGTTGCGCGAACTCTACAATGGCGGGTGACATACCTTCTTACCCGAAGGACTACTTTAGTGAAGTTGAGTTCGGCCCTTGCCTCAAGGCATTCGGGAAGGAACAGTGACCTGTAGCTTCTAGTAGCAATACAGAGAATGTTGTTGGCAATTTTTTAAAATTGTATTGTCTTTTAAGGCGCTTACATACCAAGCAATGCTGCCTGGTGCGTTCTTCATCGGAGTTGTATGCTACACATGCGGTCAAATCGGACTTTATCATCATCCATTCCTTGAATCATTGACGCTCATTGCCCTTGGAATATTCCCTGTCTTGAGTCCCTTGATAAGTTTGTACTTCATAGGACCATACAAAAGGATTATATCAGATTTTCTGCAGAGAAAGGTGCGAAGAATGAAATCCAGCGTAGGAGAAGCCACACCTAAGTACAAAGTGACTACTCTTGCCCAGACATTGTAACTGGGCGTATGCAGACGTTTCATTGCACATGTAAGGTCTACCTCCTGGTATAGAATTCGACGCTTCTTTAGTATCATCGCGATGTCTAATTTTTATGTATATCTACAACCTAATCTAACCTCCCGACATTTTGTTACCATTGCTCTATGTTACTTCTCCTTTGCTGTATGCATACATATACAATAGCGGTGAATAGTTTACATTTTTTTATTTATTTCTGATCTAATGCGGCCTATAAACCACAGTTGAAAAATCCGTTTTTTTAAGAAATCGCACGTAGAAAGTTTGGAAACTTTTTGTCTGCCTCATCAACACTTTCTAATCTTCACTTTTAGAAAGCTCGAAATGAATTCATGTAAAAAGAAACTTTATCAGTTAGGGTTGAGTACAGTTGAGGTTATTCAAACCTTACGGTTAGGAATTCGAAGTGGAACTTGCTTCTCAGTAGCTCAGTCCCTGCAAAATATTGTATTATCAGGAGTTTAAAGCGTTATCAGAGGCGGATAAGCACAAACAGAGTAAACCTTCATAAAGACAGATTGTTGCCCCCTGTTACGGACCTCGAAGCATGGTTGGCACGTCCCGTCTCTCCGACATTCCCAATCAGGAAACGACTTTTTTGGGTTTCTCTTTCCTATCATATGAAAGTCCAAGTTTAGCTCAACATCGGCTGGGACCTGGCGAATATTATGGAAGACGTCCCAACAAGTAGCCATCGTTGGACCTCAAGAGCAGGATGGTTTTCGCACTTTGACGGCTAACCTGAACCGAAGGTGGTGTATTGGAGGGTGAAAATTTGTGCTAGGTGTCTAGTGGAATGTATGCTTCTCTGAAAACGAAGTTGTGAGGGTGTGGGTGGGGGGGGGGGGGGGGGGGGGGGGGGGGGGGGGGGGGGGGGGGGGGGGGGGGGGGGGGGGGGGGGGGGGGGGGGGGGGGGGGGGGGGGGGGGGGGGGGGGGGGGGGGGGGGGGGGGGGGGGGGTAACTTTGCAAAGAAAACTAATTCGTTCCCTTCAGACATTTCACGTTACCCAATGTAATCGAAGTAGAAAAACACGGGCGGTATTGTCGGGCTTATAAGATGAGTGGGCGTCACGACCAATTTTCACGGCGGACTTTCGCAGTTCCCAGTCATCTTCGATGGAACGAGCCGGGTTGGGCTCCCAAATACCAGTATATTGGCAACAAATTACTGAATCTCATTCGAGGACTTCGTTAGCTGTTGTGCTTGACTCGCTCTAAAATGTGAGGAGTCTGGCGCAATTTTTTTTGCTTGCTGTATTGGCATCTCATTCAACACTCGCATTGCTCGAGGCCCCGGTGTCTCCGCCCGCTGTGCGATCGTCGAGGAGTGACTCTCATACCTGTTCCGTTGAGCAAGCCGTGTTCGAAACGCACGCTTGACTCTGTGTACACATCATATTCCAAGCTTAATTTTTCATATAATACGCGGAATCGGACGAAATTGGGTGCTTATTGCCTGTGCTAGGTCAAAAACAACAAAGTTTCCGAACTTTTGACTGCTACTTAGTGTGCCTGCCGCTTTGAATCACGCTATGAGTGTGCTGCTCGCGCGCTCTGTTCAGTCCAATTTTCACTTGCTGGTCGATATTCTCTATTCTCATGATGCTTGCAAACCATTATACACCGTCAGGGAATGGCAATGGTCATGCTGTTTTGGCAACACACACAGTTTCACTTTTCCAACGGTCTTACTGCACACCCGACCATGTCTTATGGGTTGCCGTCTCTTAGTAATATAACAAGGCCAAACGCTTATTAGACTTCGTACTAAGGCCCATTTCAATGTGTCTTGGAATTTCATTTCTTTATGACCTTTTCAAAACTGCGTTAATGCGGCTATACCATCCCTGGCGGTGCGTGTCCTCCTTTGTCGTAGCTCTGCATGTATGGTTAGGCTGTATAGGTGACAGCAGGGTCACGGCTATAAATGATTTTCCTCGCTCCCGATTCGCAGGAGAACAAATAAAATAATTAAATAATCTGCTCTGAATGTTAGTGACCAAGATTTTCAATGCAAGCGAAAACGTAGCAGGCGTGAAGATGATTGAGGTGGTGGTTCGGATATCGACGTCGGCCGAAGAGCCAGCCAAAGGTTTTTCGCTCAGGAACATAGCTTGTTTTACGCAATAAAGGTGACTCGTTTACAGATATGTGATAGGCGTTGTAGAACTTCTTCATTACCAGGCAGGCTTTAGTAGAATCCTTCGTTCATTACAGCCTATGAGGCTTTGTAAATCAGCAGGTCTGCGGAATCACCCTGCGAACATTTCACTCACTAGACCTCTTACCTAGAGTAACTTTTTCGAGAACCTCGAGGCCCTCTCACAGAGAAATGCTACAAAACTCATCGCGATGCTGGAACAAATCGCTGATTGCCCATCAGCATCGCTTCCAGAGCTTCGGGTTTCTGAACTCCTAACCGAGTGGGAGAGTACCTTAACTTTCTGAACTCCTAACCGAGTGAGAGAATACCTTAATCAGAGAGGTTCACAGATTCTGACGGCTTATATTTCAATTTGAGCTGTTTTGTTTGACGCCAAGATACATGTGGACGCAGACGTATAAGTCAAAGCGTAATCCTCTTCAGGATTACCAAATTATCCGACTTCTCTTTTTAGTTCTCTACTTACTTTAATTTCGTTGTTTCCTATGATTGGAAACTTTCCAAATATATCAGCCCCTTGCCCGCTTCGTGTACTTACGGACAGTCCCTTCTAGTGCTGCTACCGACTGTTCACCTGCTTCTCACTTCCGTCCTATCCCTACCGGTCTGCCCTTTGATTGTTCCACCAATTCCAAGACTAGTTCGCACTACCGGTGAATGAACTTTAGCAGAGTTCATCCATACAAAAGTGTAAATTACAACAACTTTGTTAAATGTAATATTATTAAGCCTTCTTCTTTCCTTTTTATTTTGATTAAAGTCGTTGAATATGGTTTAGTTTTAACAAAGTGGATTAGAATGCAAGCCCGAAACACACACGATATTAACAATGTTCAATCTGGACGACGCACCATCTAGAACGTCTCCCAACAATTCGGGAAGATAATGCTTCTTTGAATAAACTTCATCGATTGTGCTAGTTGCAGAGATTAGGCCAGTTAGGTGTTAGTGGATCTTGATGTCGTCGACATCAAAAGCTCGATTCTACTAGTGGATCACCTTGTTTTCAGATCGCCCCGATTGGTCTTTGTAACGTCTGATTACTGTCTCGTCGATCAAGATGCTGCTCTCAGACACTGCGAAAAGATTGTCTAAAACGTAATCTTGACGCAAATATTGCGCAGCGAACAGTTATTCCGGGCTCACTGGAAAGAGATTATGAATTCGGCAGTCTCGGCGGTTCTCTATTATTGCCTTTTGCTAGCATTATGGTTCAACTAAAAAGCATCCCATAACTACAAATCTGATGATTGTCCAGCTGTATTTACATATATAAAGAGTATGCGAGGGGTTCCTAGCAAATTCATTTGCTACATGCTTGCGGCTGCACATGCCCACAGTGCTATATACAGACACTGCCGCAAACTGGTATGAGCTTCTTTCTTAAAGGAAATCCCACGACCATCCGGACTAGTTGGGGGGACCGGAAGTGGTTTTGCGACGAAATGCATGGTAGGTACGGATCCACGTTCATGGGAAGGTTTGAAGTGAATCCTGTTCACGTTCGTGCGTTCGACACGTGGATCCGTACCTACCATGCATTTCGTCACAAAAACTTCCGGTCCCGCCCACTGGTCCATGGTCCGTGGAAGATTCCTTTAATTACAAAGCATAATTCCACAATCACGTCGCATCCTGAGAAATAGTGATCAAAAAATTCAACAAAAATCCGTTTATTTATTAAATTAGTGCCCCGTATCCAAGCTCCAGATATGGGAAGACTAGTCTTTAGGCATTGAAGGCAAGGCTGGGAGGTTAATTTTTTTGTCGTAGTTCATGAAAACCATGCTCGTGGCGATTTGTTACACTGTATTCCGACGATTTTACACATGAATTTTTTACACAAATACCAACAGATTGATCCGTTATCGAACGATGGTCTTAGCTGAGGATGTCCTATCCAGTAAGGTGCATAACTTCTAAATATTCTACTCTTTTCTGTAAGAAAAACTAGATCAATAAATTCGGATTGCTTAGAAATTGTCCTCATCATGGGCTTTTCGACGTTCCGTTGAGTCATGGGCACCACAATTAAAGACAATGGCCGATGCGCAGGATCTACAGGGCGTAAAACGCGCTCTATTTTCCTTTGCCCAAAAACAGAGGGATACCACTTGAGGTAAATAAGAATCGCCAATTAGAAAGCTAAACATGCGGATTGAGCGCGATTTTGTGAAAGCAGATGTTGTTACGCCAGGCATCTTGACAAAAAATACGTAAGGAACAAATTCGTTTCCGATGGTACCGACGAGTATTCTGATAATTCCCTGGACAGCAATGAACATGTCCAGCAATTCTCTAAGGAATCGATGTCAACAACTCACCGAACCCAATCCCCACCAAACCAAATTATCAATTTCTGGGGTGCCTATCAGGAATCGTAAGCACGCCCTGGATTTTGTATTTTTCGAGTTTCACTGGGAACGATTATTTTCATGTGACGATGAATATTACCGAAACCGATGTCTAAATTTTTATTGTACATTTCGAAGACTCGAAAATAATATTGGAGATGTTCTGGGATCATGCAAATCGAGGCGAATTTTCATGCATGCATTAACAACTGAGCAACGAACAATGAGAGATATTGTGGATAGAAAGCATACTGAAATAAGCAGAGCGAAATGTGTGGAAATTACAGTAACATGAACGCCATCACTTTAACGACGATATTGCTCTACTCCCGTACGCTAAGCGAGATCGACCGCGTTGGAAGCAGATTTCAGGTAAGTCTTATAAGTGATAGGAGACATTCTAAAATTGAATAATAGTCTTTGATAGTGTAACTTCGAATGAACTGAAAATTTGAGTATCGCTAACGAGTCGGCAGGCTGCATAAAGAATAACCTATTAGTGAAGAGACAGGTCAGAGTGACCACAGGTTTCTCTACAACAGACAGTGTTATCGATTTTCGTGACCCCGTTGGGTTTATGCTTGATGCCTTGCTTGGTCGGAAGACGAAGCGATTGAGAAAGATGCGAGCATGTTGATTATGAAAAATTGTGAACAGAAACCCCAACAGTGTCAGACTGAATCTCTGCCATTTGCGCCAGTTGTCTGCATCACCTTAGTGTTCTTAATTAGTACAATTATTTTGTATCGAATTTTCAACTTATTCTGGAGATTTCGCATTTCATTATCTGAAACGTATGACAGTCCACAGAAATTTGATGGGTCGCTGTCGCTTTTAAACTGCTGTTTAAACTGGTCTAGGAGTGCGACGATTCGGCCCGATCTACATGTTTGTCGAGCACCATGCAGTTATATTTTCGAGTGTTCGTGGAGTTAACAGAGGATGACTGTTATGAGATAACGCCATCTATTTCCCCAATGACATTGTACGAGTGCGAGTGTATGATTGAGAATCCCGCAATGTTGAGAATTCTCTCGAATTTGACTCCTTCAAGATAGAGGAACGTCGGAGAAATACCCAGCGTAGACGATCACGATAGTGTCGGACAAAGTATAATGAAGAAATCGGACTGAGTGTGGGAATGAAACCAGCTATTATAAATGTTGAATGTTCGAGCAGTGGATGGTTATAAATACCAAGCTGACCGCAAGCGTAAGAAAGCACTGCAAGCAGGTACATTGGCAGTGCAGAAGAGTTGCTTCGCCAGTAAGACTCTCGAAAGTTAATATGTCAACTCCTTAGCCTCGTATTAATCTAAAAAAGACACCTTCTCTGATACATTCCATGTTGTGAGTGGTCAAAATAACCCACCGTTAGCAGCTGACGGTGCAAGTTTCTCGTTTTTGAAGACATTACAGCATCGACTAAATGTCGAACAATACCCCTCCGTAACGCCAAAATACAGTAGTTTAAACAAGGCGTTGTAGTCGCAATCGTCAGTCATTGTAAATAAGTGCTAGCAACTCTCCATTCGAAAGGGGTACGCTCATGGGTCCTGTGACCGTTTAGTGCCTGTAAGGTGTTATTGACGATTATCCTTTGGCGTCAACCACCCGGCACAACAAGCTTCAGTGAGGATCCAGTCGCAAGACGCGACACGTGAATGATATGCATGAGGCTGGCAACAAATGCTAGCAAAGGCCCATTCTAGTATTACTTCATTAGGAAGTGCCTGATTGCGTGCACTCAAAAATAAAGCTGTCTAAATAAATACTCTCACAGGTCAAATATTTGTAGATATTATTTCCATCGAAGTAAATACATCTTTGGGCATGAATTTTTTGGCTGAATCATTATGAAACAAGTTGTTATGTTTCTAGAAGGGGCATCACCACATTTTTTCGACTCCAAAATACCAAATTTTGTATGAATAAATCGCTCCAACCAGTAAACAACTGACGCAAGAATTGGCACTAATGGAAAGTTTGAAGTACTTCCTTCCGTAGGAATCCTGAACCACCTGAAATGGAAGTCTGTAAACATTCCGTTCTCCTTTAATTCTGAAGACTATTGTCGAACCGCCAGTCATCGGTTTATGCATAATTCACCTTGCCCCATTTGCTATTATAACTCAAAATCACCATCCATCGATCGCGTACCTTGCCTAAATCATGGAAAATTAAATAGGTATCAAATCCTCCCTATCGGCCTTATGGAAACTTCTGAAACTTCATGTCCCTCGTCATAGAACAACTACTAGATTGCTGACGCCGTGATTACTTTAACTTCGGTATGCAGCTTTTGGTCTGTATAGAATTGCCTACTATTTGGCCATATCATTTTATTTTCCATGTGAATTTTTCCTCTGAACGATAACTAACCAAAAATTTGGGAATCTGCTCATGAATGTTGGACGACATTTTAAGGAGCTGAATCCAGTCGCGGATCACGGGATGCTCTGACAAAAAGCCATTACATCCGACCGTGCAGTGACCGGAGATGCAATGAATTCAACAGTTATCTAATCTTGCTACGCGTATAACATAAGTATTATATCTTTGTAAGGTCTTACGACACGTGAACACCCTACAGTTATGATAAATATGAACACCTCATAAAATAATGGAATCTACTGTTTTGATGAGGTCTTTAAAATAATGAAAGAGTTAAAGGAATCCTTCACCGAAAAATCATGATTCTATTTCAGCCATAAATCACTGGCTTGAGACTCATCATCCACGATAAGAATGAAAAGAACAGAAAAATTGCATTTGTTTTGGTAAAAATTTCGAAAAATCGAAAGGGCTGCTACGCGTTCAAAGTACCGCCGGACATCTTTCACAAATGCTGGCGACGGGAATGCTTCCACTTGGTTCTTGGAGTGCCTTCACTAGAAACTCTTTCTGGCCTTTTGACTTATTGCATTCACATCTCACACTTCTACTCCATCCTATTCTATCGATCGATTTGTCTCTACTCTCCAAAATCGCGCTTAACCCGATTCTTTCATTGGTCGCCACTTCTTTCCATGCCCCGCCTTTGGCTCCGCGCCTTTTACCTTCGATTGTCCATAGAGTGTAGTTTTTGTAAGTTTGTTTCTCTTCGGAAACCGAATCTTCATGCGTGAAACTTTGTGTGCTGTTTCCAGTGATCACAACTGATACATTCATGTTGAGAAAGAGTGCAAGAATTTTCCGCGAAGATTCCTTTAGGGACGATGTTAACGACGCGGCCTTTGAGATCTTTAGTCTTGGTCTCATTTTTTAAAGCCACGAGTCAGGATTAGGCAACCAGCAGAAGTTCTTCCCAGGGTGCGATAGTGGGCTCCCCAAGCACTGAGGGCGCGACACTATCGCGACCCAAAAGTGCGCGGCAATGGCGCTAAGGCCTTGCCGCTGCCGCTGCCAGCGTAATCCACCACGGCATACGTGGTCTCTGCGTCCTCTCGCGTACGACGTACTATCTCGCGTTCTCCCTCTCCTCGCAGCGCTGTGTCTCTCCGTCGTACTACGGCCGGCCTCCTAAGGGAAATTTAGTGTTTTCTATGGTGCTTTTTGCTTTTTCTCCTCACTAATGTTCCTCATTGCACCCCTTGCCTAATGTTTGAACAAAATAACGCATCAATTCAATCCCGACTCGTGCCTTTAAGTTCTTTATCATTGAAACCATGGCGTTGACGCAAAAATGTGGCACAAGAGGAACTTTTAGATGGATCGCATAGAATGGTTTTATTATGCCTTGCCGTTGCCATTTCTTGCACTTATCCAACGTGAAAATTTCGAAAAGCTGCACATTTCCGATCGAAGTTACTATTATTTTGGCGCACCGAAAGTTTGGCTGTAAATGCTTCAATCAAGCTGGCAAGATTTCTCTGCGGAGACGAATCATGGCTTCTTCTGGCGACTTGAACATGTGACGAGAAGCAGCCTTGATACATTCGTGGAATGAAAAATTTTGAACGTCTACAGTTATTTCCCTCACACTATTCACTGAAGTAGTTTACATGACCTGAGGTTGGTAAAAAGTAAAAAGCAAAAATTTGAATTTAATAAATTTCTTACTAAACTCATGAAAATGTACCATTTGTATGAATGACGGCACGTAGATGAGTAATATGATGAGCTTGATTTTATTCATTGACGGTGCCTGATAATTGAGCACGTAGTATCGATATGAGAAGGACAGCAGCATGCTGTACAGTGTGTGCGCATAGAAGTGCAGCATGACGCTGTAACTAAAAAGTTAACCTTTTTCCGTCTGCAAGAGTCCTTTCTTTTTATATGTTTTAGAGCATGCCACGAGCGACAAGTTTAGTGGCGATTTAACCCGTGGACTACGACTTTTTCGAAATCAAGTTATTGATGTGATTTATGTAGTAACTATCGCGTCTCGCAACAAATAATCACCTATAAAGTTTGTCCGAGGTAAGCTGGATTTGACCTAAGTTTGATTGAGGGACTATGCTCGCGGTATCGACCCCTCTTGTCACCACATCACCACCGCTCGGATGAGTATTTTTGAAATGTAAGTTGGCAAATTTATTAACATCATCGAACACAAATTCCCATATGTCACTCGTGGAGAAAGGCCATGTCCGGCAGCGACCACACTTAAGTAGGATTGCGAGCGCGGGATCTGACCTGGTGCTTCTGCTCTAACGAGTTTTCGTCGTCGTCTTGTACTGCTTCAAATCTGTCGTATAGTAGTCTTCTGATTCGCTGCCGCAGCAATCAAACTGTCAGAATTCTGAAGTTTGTAATCTCCATCACTGTTGTGTACCCGCGTAATCTTCTGACTAGTTTCGGCCTATGAAAGCCCATATTTCTCGCATTTTGTTGGCGTATGTTTGCATTATACACGATTACAGGGGAGTGCACAAAAATCACTGCCATAATTATTAAGAGTGTGTGAGTCTTACGAATTACCTTTTTGAGAACTGCGCGTACACTGATTAATGACACGCATTATTAATTTATTCCGAGTAACTCGCTTTGGCTTGTACCACATGTTATCCGAGTAGAAATCCGAGCATTTCTGTAGGTACACAGGTCCGCTTAAACAGGCACTTCAGTCTGAATAAGTCCCAAAACTATAGTACCCTTGAATGCGGAAGTGGTACACATGTAGTCATGACGCTTTACTCTAGCTTATTCGGGCATTCCCACTATCTACGAAGTTGCATCAGCACTTTGCACACTTCGGATCATCTTTTGTTGTATTCATTCGCAGGGGAACTTCAGATGGCAGTTGAAGACAGTAGTAACACAGAAAGAATGTACAAGCTTTATAATATCCTTGCCCCGCACAGCACTAAGCTTCACTCAAAAATTATTGTCAATCTTGGTTGTAAGCTTAGAAGCTACGCTCTCATATTCCGAGGACAATTTCTTAATCCTCGCGTTCTGAAGTCGACCATTCCCCTATGTAGTAACACTATAGCGATAAACCTCACTCGAAACTAGGGAGTGCGGATATCCTTCGAATATGTAGCTGGTCTCCCACTCCTCGCTACCACAGCGTCAAAGGAGAGCATCTCCATCATATCCACACGGACGGTGGAGATCCCTGGGTAGGACAATGCACACTTGCTGCATAAAGCCTGTCTAGTCGACCTCAGGCGATAGTGGTAGGTATGCCTCTTCATTGCCCCCCCCCCTAACGCATCTGCAGACTGCAGTTTCTTTCTCTTCACTGTTGCTGCTTTTGGCCACTGCGTCAGGTGGCACTAGGTTTAACCTCTCACCATGACAATGCTGGAAAGAGTCGTACGAAAGAGAGCCGTGTCATACTTCGCGAACCCAGCAAATCGCTAGCGGGTTGCAAGGTACGACTCATCCTTTACTGCGTTTTCATGACCTCGCGAAACCTGGACAATGGCAAAAGGCAACTGGCGTATACGGGAGACTCTCGCTACTTCTCCAAACTGTCGAGTTGCTGGTGCATCGTTCGAAACGCTGCCGCACCGCTTGTACTCCACGATTGGCAGGACCGACGAAGTCTAACACCGCATAGGAGTGTACTGGTTCCGGAATTCGCCAAACGCAGTGGTTGAACCATAACCCATCTATGCAAAATATGCGGATCGTCTGAAGCTATGCAGCGATGATCGCCCAGGAGGCAACCTCTGTGAACAGCTTCATATTAACAGCATACGTAGAACTTTCGGGTCCGATGGTGACCGCACGCACGTTCTACAATACAACGTTCCCTTCCCTTTTGCCCTTCCCATCCCACAAGCCATTGACAGTTCGCGCAAATATTGACAGAACAATTCATTACATTATAATCATACCTGACATAGCAGAATCGAGGGCCTACGAACTGGCATAAACCTTCGGATATGTAAAACAACGACGTGCCTCCAGGTACAAGCCTGAACGAGGACTAGAGTTTAATTGTTCTCAAAGTTTTTGTTGACTCTTTGAATCTGGTTTTTTTCGTTTATGATAGTCAATTCTGCTTATCAGGGCCGCTACTGTTACTGTTCAGAAAAAAAATACGAGGGCTTTTTTGCAAGAAATATTAAAATTCCAGAAGTCCAAAAGGTCCATGAAATGCAGCGCTTTTCAAAATGTTTCTCGTTCATTATTGCAGCGTGAAACCCAAAAATAAGGTTCATGTTCCCCTATGCGGCTCTCGGAGCCGAAAAGGAGTGGAGGAGATTCACGATTCTCTTCATGTCTTAACAAAACTTTGGATTAAGAATGACGTTTGCAATGAGGGGAGTGAGAAAAGTTTTTTCCCATGGCCACAACCAGCAAACTGTTTCGGAGGTGCGAACTTCCTGAAGGTCTTATGGACAAAATTTCGTAACAGTGATATCCTTATGAGGCAGAAGCAATCCTTGTTATTGTACCATCGCCTTTCAAATGTTGGCTGAAATTATACGCCGTTATTGAGCGGCTAAGGTGACAGTGTTAGTTTCCAGCCTGGAGAAACTATCTGAGGTCAGTGTCAGACTTTGCGGATGCAACGGTTCGCTAGTTGCTAGTCCGGGAGGTTGTTTACTCATCCACGGAGTAACTAATCGAGCGTGAATAAGCAAAGTCTGACACCGGCCTAACTCCTTCAATCAATTCAATGTGAAGACATTTCCGACGGTGAGTAGCTCTAAGCATTCAATATCCCTTCCGACCAACAATTCTTGGAAAACGTCGTAGTGGACGATAACCGAGGATCTCGTTGAGCTCAAACGTTATACCATGTTTCCGTGACAGATTTCTTTGATGTAACCCGTGCAGAACGCTATTGTAAAGTTTTATAGTAGAGTCGTTTTATAGAACTCTTAAACAGCATCGGGTTCGCGTTTGTTTGAGTGCTATTAATCCAGTTCTGTACATAGAAATAGAAAGGTATTTTCATGCCCCTTCTCCTACTATATGGTTTCGGTCAAGTGCATCCGCGGCACAATGTGTATGCATACTGAGTAATATGCAGGAGGTGAATAAAAAGGAGACCAGATATCAGAAACGATTGACCTAACGATTGGTAAAAATCCGGAGCAGGGAACGTCACTGCTATGAGATTTGTTTATTAGGGTCTCCTGATTACCTTACACCAACGCTTAGCAACTTTCTGACGGCTTTCCAAAGTGAGTTTTTGTTCAATAATTCCACTGTTTCCCTGGCTTAGGTTTGCGTATCGTTCACACCGTGTTAGGTGTTTAATGGTAAAAAAAGCGTTCTAAGGCAGGGTGAATAACGGTCGAGGAAATCCTCGACAGGGGGTCGTATTTGCTCCGATGAGAGTTGGGAGGGGGTCGTAATCAAAAGGTTCATCAACGGACACAACGGTGCTGCTGCCACTTATTTGCTGTCATCATTAGTTTCACAAGTGTTGTACTTAGCCTAATGCAAATAACATCTTACAAGTGGTTGTTGGTTTGGTTCGTAGTGATCAGTATGGCATAGGAAGGCAACGCGTCCTGCAAAAGAATCGTAGGGAAAGGGCAGCGAGTATCTACTCTAGAATGATGCACATGCTTCGAGAACTTAGTGGAGGAACAGCATCTTGGTAGAAAGTTCAAAACAGGCAGATTCGCAGCCTTCTTGGCATCATCAGATCCTGCAACCGCAAGCTGTCATTCATCAGAACGGGTTGGAAAGGAAGCGATTTGAATAAAGGAGTGATCAGACATCACTATGACCACAAAAGTTATTCTAATTAGTTAATACTGGAAATACCTTTTGGTGTGATTAAGCAAGTCGTCACTAGGACAAAACACCTTCCCAATGACTCCGAGTGGGGTCACTGCATGGCGCATACAAGAACGGAATGGATCCGCGCCAAGTGCATCATTTTCAATTTACTCCATCGAACTGACGTGTACAGAAGTATTTTGAAGGTGTTCAAAGAAGTTCCCTACTACGGCAAGGGAGTAATAGAGTTTTCGAGTGGCTTCGAAAATTTCCTTGACATTTCCTCGACGCAGATTTCTCGCGAACTAGAAAGCGTTCGAAACAACTGGAGCACCTATCAGAAAGCGTAAATCTTCTACTTTACAACGCTTTCCTCCGATTTTCAAAGCATTGCCAATGAAGACAGCTACTGTCTTCCAAAGAGTGGGAACTCGCATGTAAATTTCAATTTCCTCGACAATTCCTCGACGTCTCCCACTCTCGAGAATAGGCGTGCTTAGAAAAACGCTCAGCACAATTTAGAAAAACTAGAAAGTCTTGTGCATTCAAAAGCTGCCTTCACTTTCTCTGAAATGGTTATCAATGAAGAAAGTTATAGTCCTTTGAATAGGGGGTACATTTGACGATTTTTCCAACTAGCGCGCTCTAGGCACAGCGCGCGACGCGATCGCGGGTAGTTAGCGCCGCTATACTGGAGCGCGAGACTGTTCAACTGTGTAGGGGCAGTACCTCCTTCAATGTTCTACTTTCCGGCCAATGTGGCAAAGGTTAAATGTCTTTAAAGGAAAGAAGGAGAACCTAATCTGAGCAGAATTGAATCTAGCATTTGGATCAAGCCGCATTTGCGTGGCGGCGCTGCGTCCTCTCGCACATGAAACCATGTGCAGAGGACAAAAACAGGGGTCGTGTCAGAGTTATGTTTTGAGGGGGCGTTCGTAAAGAGGCTGGTTATTTCTCGCACGCGATCTTACCCTGCTGTCTGGGACTGTTGCTTAGAGGGAGCTGCTACAGTCGCACACAACTACCGTGCTGAAAGGTCAAAGTCCACCCATAACTCAAAACCACATGGCCATCCAACCCGTCGTG